TGGCATCAAGGGACGACTCCGGACAGGGAGAATGTTATAAATTAATTCCGAAATAATAGTCGCCGATGCCCCCGTATCGACCAGGATGCGCACTTCCACCCCGTCGATATATCCTACAACGGCCGACGACCCCGACGATGCGGCAACCACACGATCGACCAGCACGGACCACTGGCGGGGTTCGATATGGGTACCCGGAGTGGTGCGTGATGGTGCGATGGTGCGTGATACCGGCCCCCCCCTCGTTGCGGTGTTTGAGTGCGTGACGGGTGTGTGTGTGGGCCAAACGTGTGGGGTGCCGCGACTCGCCGGTTTTTGACGGTGGAGCTTGGGATGAGGCCCGTCGTCCCGGTGAGGTGTCGTCCCGCGCTGACGAGGAGAGCGGCACCCCGAGGCGACGTGGCCCCGGACGCCGCAGTTATAACACCGCGGGAGCGACGTCGGAGGTGACGAGTGGTCGGAACGGCCTGACCCGTCCTGGCCCGGTCGTGCACTCGTCGCCTGTTGCCGTCGGTGGTCGACGGCGTAGAGTTCCTCCGTCGGAAGGGTGGCTGCAGCCACCGCACGCCCCGCCGATGCCCTGCTGGCTTTGCGTCGAAGCGACAGGAGGTTTGCGTGGAGGAGCCGCGCCGCCTGGAGCGATGTCATTTCCGCGTCCTCCTGTGCGACGACAGCGATGTCTAGATCGTCGGCCAGGAGGAGTATCTTCTCCGTTACCATAGCGTCGATGCCGTCGTCATCCATCCGGGGGAAGGCCGACTTGGCCATCGCCAGGAGGCTCGTTCGGTACGCTAGGGGCGACTCCTTCTCTCCCCGCTTGCGGTCGTAGAACTCCTGTCTGCATTCCGCCGACGGTCCGTAGACCCCTCCCAGCAGCTGCAGCGCCATCGGTAACGTGGAGCGCCTTTCCTTTGGTGCCGATGTTAGGGCGGCAAGCGCGTCGCCGTCCAGGAGCGCCGGCAGGGCGCTGAGAGCTTCTTCGTCCGTCCATTTAGCCATCTCCTGGTGGGCGAGGAAGCGTCTTTGAAAGCCGCTCCAGTCGCCCTCTGCGCCCACGAATTCTTTAAGCGGGGGCAGCCTTTGGTGTAGCGCAGCGGCTGCCGTGGAGTCCCGTGGACTGCTGCCTCCCCGACTCGGCTGCGTCTCGGCGCGAATGGCAGATGGCATCGCCTGTCGCAGCTTTGATGACGCGCCCTCCTCCGTCGTTGATGCAGCAGCCCCAGCGCGGCCGATGTCGGACCCCAGGTTGAGGTTGGCCACGCCCCTAGCGGTCGCTGCGTCGATGGCGGGAATTTCAAAATTTAAATCTTCAGAAATGGCGGGAAGGCGCTCCACACGCCGGTTCCTCTCGCCCCGCGGTGGACCACCAGCCGCCAGCCGTGTGATGTCCCCCAGCGCAGCGGCAGCGGCGTAGAGCAGTTCCGCCAGCCTCTCATGAGCCAGCCTCAGGTCGTCTCCCCGCTGCTCCTCTTCATGGCGATGCTCCGGTAAGCCCGCATCCGGCCCCGGCTGCACGTCGTCTAGTAGAGCCATCTCGGGCTCGGCAATTTCGGCGGCGTCCTCCGCCCGCTGTTCCCTGGCTCGAGCTGTTTGGCGCGTGTCCATGTTCTTGGTTCTTCTGACGCCAGATGAAGTGTTGTTGAAGACGCGTGGACAACGGGGTAAGGCACACGTATTTATTTACACAAAGGGCTTACAGTACTAGAGGGATGTATCGGCCCCCTCACCCGTACAACTGGGAATTCACCCCTAGCTAGCCTTCCTAGCTGAGTCCTCCGCTAACGGGCTAGGGGAGGCTGTCTGGCCCGACACTGGTTAGTCGGGCTACGGTACCCGGAATCCCAGAGGTCTGACTCTGGTTCCGGGACCACGCCACTGGCTCCAGCCTGCACTGCCCTTACAAGGGCGGCGTCCCAGGGGGAGTCCAGGGCCTATCTGGCTGGTCTTCTCTCTTCTCTTAACTACTCTCAGACTGAGCCCCGAGCTCTCTGGCTCAACCCTTTTTATACCCCGTTAGAGGATCGAAACCCCCCTCACGCCGTCCAGTACGGACGTCGTTGCGGGCACCACCCCGTGTGCTCACGGAGACCCCGCCCACTGTGTCTGTTTTCCGTTAGCCCCTATGTAAACAGCCCTACACAAACAGACCCTCTGTAACAGCCCTACACTTGTATTAACAATAACACGTTCCTTCGGAGTGGACAGGTAGGAACTTGGTTGGACAGCACATTCGTGCACGACAGCAAGCTCGCGGTCACGTGATGCACTTCAACCAATCTCTGAACGTACATGTTTGGGAGGGGCGATGCACGATAGACAAATAATCACTGGTGGGCAGTGGGAAACTGTTGTTCCTACTTATATAATTCCACTCGTTGAGTTATCCTTCAGCGATGAGGACTCCAGACTGATTTTCTTCTCACCCACTCCGTTCGACCACCACTCGGCAGGTCACAACACTTTTCTATCAGCTTCCTCCACGCACTGCTCAAATTTGGAAGTCCATCCTACAGTTTCAATTCTAATTATCTTGTTAATTTCCATAAATATTTAGATTTCACACTTGATGATGATTGCTTGTGTTGCAGTCGAAACGTCGTGATAATTTTATTGTTTAATATTTTTATTATTTTATTATTTCCCTTCTACGTGACTTGACCGAAAAAAACAATAACATGAATGCCATAAACATGTTAATTCTTATCGACTACAACTTTTATTGTAGTGCTGTTCATTGCTGACCGTATGACATGTTGGTCTTCTGGATCTATGCTCAGCAACCATAACGAATGAAAACAAGCAGACGTTTTGTGCAGGCCACGCATATTCCTTAGAGTAAAATTGTCCACTGGCAAAATACCACATCGTGGAGATGCCGGGGATTGAACCCGGGGTCTCACACATGCGAAGCGTGCGCTCTACCACTGACCTACATCCCCATGGTGGTTCTACCTGGGCGCAGTTCCACCTCGGTATGGGGTGAAACTTCGTCATCAGCTTCTTCCTCTCCCTCGTCACCCCACTCACTCTCCTGTTGGCCCTGGGCCCTGTACACATCGAGTCTGCACAGAGTCCAAGCAAAATGTATTTCTTTGAAAGAAATAGAAATAACAAGCATACATGTGGATGGATACTATGATGCTTTCCCAATTTATTTATTCTTGGAAATATTTAATTCGGAAATAAAAAAAAGTGTTTTGGATATTTTTAAGCGCTGGTTTTCATCTCCAAAATTGTAAGTAAACCATTTGATCACTGTGTGCATCGCTAGTTATACAAATAGCAAGTTCCTGAAATCAACACAAATTCACCCTCAGGTATCGTTCATATAGGGTTATACTGGTAGGAAGCACCTGGTTCCACCAGCCCACATGGGATTATTGTGTCCGTCCGTCCGTCGGGAATTCCAAAATTGGGAGGGGTGGGGCTGGGTGGAACGGGGAGGGTGGGGAAGTGCTGGTCACCCCGTGGTGCCCTTATAAAACTAAACGTTTAACCAACTCACGCCGGCTTGTGCCTGCCCTCACAGTTGCCCATATTTGCGAAATACACCACGCCGCCGTTGACCCTGGCCATTGACCGAGCAACCCAACGTTCCTTCCAGTTCCCTCCGCAGGAATGTGTTTACAAGAGTTCATGTGCACCCCGATTACAGGGACATGGACAAAGCCAATTGATTTTGGAAATCAACCTTTTTTGGAAACAAATTAAATAAAAACTTACATTGAGATGCCGGGGATTGACCCCGGGGCCTCACACATGCAAAGCGTGCACTCTACCACTGAGCTACATCCCCATTCTGATTCTACCAGGGCGCAGTTGCACCTACGTACAGGGTGAAACTTTGTCATCAGCTTCCTCCTCTCTTGTCACCCCACTCACTCTCCTGTTGGCCCTGGACCCTGGACCCATCGAGTCTGCACATAGTCCAAGCAAAATGTATTTCTTCGAAACAAAAATAAATAACAAGAATACATGTGGATGGATACTATAATGCTGTCCCAATTTATTTATTCTTGGAAATATTTAATTCGGAATTAAAGTGTTCTGGATACTTTTAAGCACTTACTTTCATCTACAAATGTTTAAGTAAACCATTTGATCACTGTGTGCATCGCTAGTTATATAAACAGCAAGTTCCTGAAATCACACAAATTCATCCAAAGGTATCGTTCATATAGGGTCATTTACGAGTTCATGTGCATCCCTATTACAGGGACGTTGACACAGCCAATTGATTTTGGAATGCAACCTTCGTTGGAAAAATGAATTAAATAAAAGCTTCCAGCATGGAGATGCTGGGGATTGAACCCAGAGCCTCACACATGCAAAGCATGCGCTCTCCCCCGGAGCTACAGCCCCACCACGCTGGCAGCCAGCCCCCTTAACCATCGGCCCCTCCCCTTACCCCCTCTCCCTCAGGCCCTTCCGCTGACCCCCCCTCAGGCCCCTCTCCTGACTCCCCCCTTCCTTAGACCCCTCCCCTGACCCTCCTTAGGCACCGCCCCTCTCCGTACCCGGCAATAGGTATCCGCCAATCAAAGAGCTGTTTATATTACTTATTTATGCACGACAGACAGACAAAAAAAATCCCTGGTGGGCAGTGTGGAACATTGTTTCTACCTGTATCAACACCACACTTACAGCATTGCTGTCGATGTTACAGATCAAAAGGCTTGGAAAGAATGTGCAAGAAATCCAGGTCACTTGCTAATCAAAAGTTTCATCCCACGCAAATACGCAGGGAGTGTAAACGGAGGTATGAAAAAAAGTGTAGCTTATCCGACGTCACGTAGCGCTGTCATAGCTATATTAATCCTTCCAGTTATTAAACCAGAACTGCAAGCAGGAAAGGGATTCTTGGCACATTCCATATCGCTACTCATCCTGGGCATTTCAAAAGGACACTGCATGGATAACCACTGTGCGTGTTTCTATACCTAGAGTATGAAGTTCACAAGCACGCCACGTTGATGTGATCACACGGTTTATTTCATAGTATCCGTTTCATGCAACAGGCGCGTTACACTTGGAATGCGCGCAACGCGTGGGTCCTGCCATTCCGCTCGTGGTGCGCTCGGAAGTTCGGGTGGCAGCAGAATTTCAAGGCGGCGATCGTGATCACGAACTCGAGGAAGTCGACTTCCCCATCTTTGTCATCACCAAGGTCCCTCAGGATGCGGCTCACCACGAACCCATCCACGGGATTCTGAATGGAATCACAAAAGCAAGGGCTAGAAAAGACTGGACCGCAGAACACGGGCACAATATACAGAAAGTTGTACACGGCGTAATGGCGTGCCAAATGGAGGTCATTCAACCATGCTGATCAACCGAATACGTACTGCATTCTCCTCAGAATTAATAAGGTCCGTTCGAACTGAACACTTAACCTCCTACCCCCCCATTAATGCACCCCCGATTAGGCCCAGGTCAAACACCATCTTTTTACGTCCGAAACACCACTGCACAATTCTGGCCATCGCCTCCTGAGGCCGATTGTGAAATCAGCTAAATGGCGACCTCAATAGTCCAAGTTGGAAGTTTACGCTCCATCACAGCGGTGTGCTAAAGTAGCAGCTAATCAGCACGGTTTACGTGACAAACCCTACCAATTGGCCATGTCCGGTTTAACGGATATTTATAGTTACGGAATGCAAACCAGAAAGCTTTATTATTACAGAAGAACGGAGAGGGTACAAGCTCAAAGGCTACATCCTGAGACTCAAAAATTAGAGGAACAGAGTTCCATACGAATAGCAAAACCACATCTTACCTGGATCAGACTCTTGCCCTTATCCCCCTTCAGGAAGCTCCTGAACGTTTCCTTCTTCAGACAATCTTTCACAGCACTGTCGCGGGCGAGTTCATTGAAGGTGGACAGGAGCTTCAGGGTGGCTGCATGGAGGTCGCTCATCTTCACAAGAGATGCACGGTCGAGTAAGTACGCAAGTGAAATCTGCGAGGACACGACATACAACGAGACAGCCTTCAATCACGTGAAGACAATGCACACGGCACCTCTCTACGCACCATAATGTGATGAACCACAAGGACTGATCACGTAGCGCCCCAGCTTTGTTCTAAAAACAATATCTGGCCTAAACCTCAACCAGCGCTGCGCACAGCTCTCACCGAACCCAGGTAAAACCCGCGCGTTGCAGAGATCCCCAATACACAAGGCATCTTGCCCAACACCGCGGCGGTGGCGGTACCTGCAACAGACGTCTGCAGCTTTGACGACGACTGCTGCCACCCGTTGCGGCTTTTATGAAGCGCGGCCAGTGACGTCACCACCCACACGTGCTCGCTCTCACTGTGCGATTGAGTGATGATGTTTTTTGATTGGTCCCGTTCATCTCGTTTCCCGGCTAATTTACAAGGGAAGTCCGTGATGCCAGAGCACAGCAGAAACATCAACAGACAATGAACTCATGGGAGGCGCGTGCCAAGCGGCCCCAACATTGCTATCAAGCGGGCGCTTGATGGAGGGAGTGGAGGAGTTTGCACGGGGACGAAATAAATTAAATCTACATCGTCACGAGCATCCAACACCACAACCCCTGCTGTAATTATTGTACGCAAATGAGATGCCCGCGTTTTCACTGCAGGATTTGACTGATATGTACACATGTACGTGGATCTGCCGTGGTGTCAAGGTTTGCTCACTGGATGAGTAATGCAGAGGTCTTCTGGTTCGATCTCCCCGAGCGGCAGTTGAACCACCCAGCATTGTAACAGGTACACCACATGCATTTGATCACGATGTTTGGGGGGGTAGAGCTTTGTGACGTCATATTTGAGGGGGGGTCTGACTTTTTGTGACGCCTTGTGACGAGGGGGGGGGGGTCAAAAAGCGTCTAAAATCGCGTGACGTCATTTATGGACGGCCCCTGAGAACTACGAACGACCATAATTGAGTGTAGCGTGATCGTCATTGGTGGAGTTGGCACGCGTCTCCCATGAGGCGCTGGGATGCCGTCACAGGCGGCAAGACTCGTGTTGCCCCCGCGTGGCTGAGGAAGGAACAATCAGAGCCCGGATTGATGTTTAGCTTGGCAAAGGGTTTTATATCACTAGTTCATAAAGCCTGCCTTCGCTAGCATAACGTGGAGATCGACACGATGCGCTAATCAAAGTTTCAAAGTTGTGTTTTTTCTGCGCATTCGTCCTCGCTGCGCTTGGACGACATGACAACAGAATGATCCGCGCCAGGTGGGTCGCGGCGTTTATGTGCGTGGTGGGACCGAGTCGCCAAACATACATTAATTACGATTTTCACTCCCGTTTATTCGGGACCCCGGGGTCCCACCATAAGGTTCCTATAACAGTAATTATGTAGTGTGGTAAGACACCCCAGAGCTCACAATCAGCACAGAATACAACACTCAACCCTCATCACAAGTGGGTGGCAATTACGAGACTGTGGGTTAAAATACAACCTCCGTAATATATTTTTTCACTGAATAACCAATCTTATTTAGCTCGTCATTTGTTGAAGTATTTACGAGCATAGTAATATTTTTAGCCCGCAGCATTTTTATTAAGAGGGGTCTAACATATTTTACGGGAGCCACCAAATTTGTAGGAGGGCTTCTATTACCAATCAATCCACTCGCTATGGGTGAGAAGGCGTCGCTTGCCTGTAACTTCATTCAGTACCGTCAAGGCCGATGTACTTAAGTTCATAAATATTTTACAACCCTCGCCACAAGACGGCAGCAGTCACGAGATCATGGGTTCAAATTCAACCTCCCTTATAATAGATTTCATACAAGACTAGCTGTACTACCCGGCTTCGCCCGGGACTTGTATCCACCACGGCCGGCCGCCTTTGTCTCCCCAGTGGCGATGTTAATACGCCACAGCAGTTACTCGTTTGAGGCTGAGTGGACCTAGGGGAGGTTCAAATAATCGTCACCGGTGGTGGGCGTGAGCGGGAATCGAACTCGGTTCGCCGGGTTTGTAGCGCAGCGTAGCGTTAAGCACTACACCCACCGCTCCTCACACACCACACACGCACAGACACACACACAGACACACACACAGACACACGCAGACACACACAGACAGAGACACACACAGACACACAGACAGCACGCTAACCACTACACTACCGCTCCCCACACACCACACACGCACACACACAGACACACACACAGACACACACACACACAGACACAGGCAGCACGCTAAGCACTACACTACCGTTCCCCCTACACAACACACGCGCGCGCGTCCATAGGTACACATACACGCGCTTGCTGCAGACACACACATACATACACACAGACACACACATACACACAAACACACATACATACACACAAAGACATACACAATACACACACACATACATGCAGACACACAGACAGACACATAACACACATACATACACACACATACATACACACATACACATACATACAGACACACAGACATACACATAAACACATACACACATACACATGACCCGGCTTCGCCCGGGACTTGGATCCACGATGCCCGGCCGCCTTTGTCTCCCCAGTGACGATGTTCACACACGACAGCAGTTACGCGTTTGAGGCTGAGTCGACCTAGGGGAGGGCCAGGTCCGTTTCAAATAATCGTCAGCGGTGGTGGGCGTGAGTTGGAATCGAACTGGGGTCACTCAACCAGCTTAATGACTATTTGTACAAAGAACATATAAAGAATCGATTATAATAACCAGGCTACAGTCCACATTATAGACTGCCAGTACACGCACTCAGCTTCATAAGCAGGCTAGAGTGTACATGATAGAGTGGCAGTACGCTCACCGAGTTTAATAAGCAGGCTACAGTCTACATGATAGACAGGCAGTACGCTGACCCAGCTTAATGCCTATTTGTACAGTGAACATTTAAGTAATCGATTGTTGGCGCGTTGGGTTTAAAAGTAATATAAATTGCACACATTGTGGTGGGGGTGTAGTGAAGAGTAGGAAAAACTTTGATGAATTTACCTCAGAGTGGCGTGGTGGGTGTGGAGGCCTAGTAGCGTGCAAAGCCTGCGGCCTCGCCTAAATTCTCCACGCGGAAGAGGCAGGGTACGGGTGGCGTTCCTTCCCCCCCCCCCTAGCGCTCCAACAATACCGTGTAATGGCTGTTATTTAATTATTTACGGAGCTTATGAAAGTGGCGAAGGCGTGGCTAGCGGTTGGCAGGGGCAACCGCCGTCCAATGAAACTGCAGCCCTTGGCGAAGGCGTCGCTAGCCGTTGCCAGGTCCAATGAAAGCAGCGAAGGCGTCGCTAGCCGTTGCCAGGGGCAACCGCCGTCCAATGAAAGTGCGTATGGTCCGGAGACACACAGACACACAGACAGACAGACAGATTCACGATTTTATATATATAGATGTGTAATTGTATACAAATGTATTTAACTGCATCAACGGTTCCATGTGACTGGGAGCAATGTTAGTTTCAGCGTTACTCGCTCTGCCAAAGCTTTAATATGCAACACAGACACGCCACAACACAGTATCACATGCTGTGTCATGTGTAGGTCTCCACTATGAAATGTAAGTTAATAATTTCAATACAGTACTCTTACAAGGCAGCAGTAAGCGACGAGGTTGGAGCTTCTGCGCTCCTAAACTGGGTCATAGTGATGTCCTCGGTCTACATTCCTGTGGTGGGGATTCTTTTAAATGAGCCCGCGACTCGATCCTGGTCTCGTGGGTAGATGCACTGTGATACATTTTAAAGCAAAAAGAAATTTCAAAAATTTCATTGTGACCACAAATCGTGACAATTGAATCGTGGGGGTGGATTTTGGTTGGTTCAGCCTGCCCTTCTGTGTTCTCGCTCCAGGAGAAAAAGCGCTATAACGAATCAGAGTTCCTCAGGGTCACGCTAAACGAGGTCTGCCGATAATTATATTAATACATAAATACAGGCAGTCCTCTACTCACTATTACCCGACTTACGAACGGTTGTATTTGCGAACCAGCTTCCATAAAATATCTAGAAAATATATTTACTTAAAATTCGAACTCGCAATTGAAAACTGAACTGTGGAACTATTGTGTTCAGAGGAGCGATCCTCTGCAAAGTGCAATGAGTCGGCCTCGTGCTGGGAGTGAGCATTTGCGTGTTTGTGCGCGAATACGTGTGTGTGTGTGTGAAAGTGAGTGTGTGTGTGTAAAGGTGAGTAAATGTGTGAACGTCTGTGTAGGCAGCGGTAATTTTAAAATTAGCGTGCTGCGCTACGCAAACTGTTCATGCTCAAGGCCAACACCAGTACCTGGTATGGTGTGTAAAGATCACCATTGCGGAGACAAAGGTGGGCGGACGTAGTGTTGGCAACCCACCCCCTCGTGTACCATACCGGCCTTCATGAGTGCTACTCACTAACAGCACTTGCTACACATCGATGATCATTGAGCAAAATATATTTCTTGGACGTGGCATTACCAAGTGGTGGGCTGGCTTTCAAAATATTGAGAGAGAGAAAGTAATTTATTGCATAAAGATTGACAGGGACTCTTCACAACTATGAGTTCCCTCCTAACTTGCGCAGTTTTCTATTGCGTAACTCTCTTGACGTGATCGGATGCACGCCTACAATCCAGCACTGTGGAGGCGAGGATTGGTGGATCACACAAATGTTGGCCTCGTGGTGTAATAATCTGGTTGCCAGGAGAAAGTGGTAGAAAAGCGTGGACTAAGCTCAATGTGTTCCAACTCCCTGTTGGCATCGAAAAGCCATACCCTGGATCACCAGGAATATGCTGTACACCACAATGTGGACTATCTGTCCCTTTTATATGGGATAGAGTGTTGCTCCCTTGTATGCGTGGGTTTTCTCGGGTGCTCGAAGTTTCTTCCCACACGTACAAATTAAGTGGCTGGAAACATCTTAATATATAAAAGACCACAGAGCTCAGGTAATTGTTGGCTCCAGCTCACCATCTGGCTTCCTTGCAGCTTTTGTGGTTCCTCAGCGATTGTGGGAGGCAATTTGCATTACGATGATATGTATATAGAAACGAATAGAATCATTAAACAAAACAACAATTCATGTTACAGTATTTTTTGTTGTCCTTCCACAATTAGTTTGTTGACCTTCCCTGTACTTCCGATAACCACGGTTGACTACGCACGGTGTGAAAGAAATTCAACAGACATACAATTTTTTTTCAGATGCAATACATTTTACATATGAATACTTTCTACGTGGTATATGTATTCCCTACTCAGATAGCTCTAATCAAGGGAAATACCGTAATTAGTTAACTGCGTAGTGAATTGGTTTAGTTTAGTAAAGGAACCCTAATTTGATTGTTTTTATACGTTTTTGTACATGTAAACATTGGGATGGATACCATATTTTTCACGTAAGAGGACGCACCAGAAAGTTACCCTAACATGCAACGTTGATATATCGTTGGAACTATTGCACCTATGTTGGCCAAATGTTGGGGAAGATACACCCAAAACATTGGGGTATGTTTTTATTGTTTTAAAATGGTAAGAATAAGGCATGACTATGGAGATTGAGCCGTCTTACAGAAGATAATTATGAATGCGCTGCTTTGGAATGGGGTAGGGATGTCTTCTCATGGATCATTCTGATCGGGCGATGGCGTCTTCCATCCTCTGGGTTACAAAGCCATGTGATGCTACTGTATGTGCATTGCCGGCCTTCCAGGAGATTATTCTGAACAACTCCCGCACCAGATAAAAACACGTCTTCCAAAAACATAAAAGTATTCCGCGTATTATGAGACACATTGGCAACTTTTGCTTAAAACCACAGGAAGGTGACCGTGCGTCTCATAAGCTGAAGAGTCGTCGTTTTTGGTGGTGTGGACCCACATTGCACGGCATATGATGAACTGATGTTGTGGAGGATTTATATTTCGAAGATGTTGGGGCCCACACATTTCAAATAATCTTTTTTTGAAAAATGAGAATAGGTTTTATTCTTTTGAGCTACAAAAACGGAGGTGTTAAGATGGTCAAATACCAACTAGATACATTTTTCAAGGAATCAAGTCTGCATTAACCACAAGTACTTGTGGTGAACATGCAAACAAAGGTGTTAAAGTGTTCATGAAGCGAACAAGCGGTTCTGCGAATATGTATTCGATGTTACACATTCCTGGATTGTAAACTTTCAATTCGACTATTTGATTATCAGTTGATGTGACATTTTTTTGCCATATTAAATTATCTGGAGTGTGAGGTAAACAAACTTGCCCGTGAGTTTCATCCCCCACCACCACCGTCATCATCCACAGCGCTCTGCTCTTCTGCTGCTCTGTCCTCATCTGCTGCTCTCTTATCTTCATCATTATCTGTGACCTACCAATGTCTGCAGGCAGGATCAATCGATGACAATCCTATTGCCTGCAGATGTTTAACAGATGAGATGCGTTGCACCGTGAATTCCTCCTGTTTGATGAGACAGTCGACCCTTCTGCACCGCCACTTTCCCCGTCGCGGTTTCGATAAATCGCGGGGTCGGCAAAAGACATTAAATGGGAAGTTTTGGGAGTGTTGCGAAAGCCGCAGACGACACTCAAAAGGTCTAGAAACTCATAAATGCATTAAATATATGTACAGTACTGTATAATATTAATGTCTTTTAGCTTTTAATTCGCGAAAAGAACGCGAAAGCCAACAGACGACACGCAAAGGCTGGAAATGTAGATATAACTTAGCAATGACCTTAATACAGTACACTGTACTGTATGGCCAGGTACTCTACCATATATTTGTATAGTTGACTAAATAGCGATTTTTACTGTGTTTTGTTATACTATTATTGTTCTCATATTTAGTTCATATTTTTTTCCTCAAATAGCATTAAAAACACCCCAAAAAAGAATAAATTAAAATGTTTTATCGGGGAGAGGGGGGGCTCGGCTAGAGGTGCTCACTTTTCTCGCCAAGGGGACCCAAAGGACCAAAACATTTTACGCGGTTTTTCCAGATAGCGGGGGGCCTGCGCCCCTAACCCCCGCGATGTGGAAGGGTCTACTGTAGCTTAGTTTTATTTGTATATTTATAAAGTGATTTGTTTACCTTTTTCTACACTCTGCACTCCTATCGTGCTTTTGTATTGTTGTTGTAAAGTTCTGACCCACCTCCAATTGAACATCTGTGAAAAAGAGCTTCATAGCTCATCGGATTCCTCCATTATAAATGAAGATTCTGATTTCACATGATTCGAGTGTGATTGCAAAGTTACTCGTGACTGTCAGCACTACAGCCTGCGAGCAACTGTGACCCCAACTGTATTCCGTCTACGTTTGCAGACAACCGGATATTGGCGACATGCCCACCGCGTCACGCTGTGACCTCTCGCCTGGCAACAACCTGCCGGGGGAGGAGGAGGAGACCAGCCCGTCCTGCTGGGGCGGCTTCTGTCGCAAGGGGCCGCGTAAATCGGTGGCTGAAAAGGCCCTCCTAAAGGCCCAGTTTAAACTTTATAAGACTCAGGTGAGGGTGCACCAGAGCATCCAGCAGCTGTGGCGGGACGTAGCCGCGGTCGCTGCCGCCAAGGAGCTGAAGGAGGAGGAAGAAAAGGAGTGGAGCGCGGGAGCAGGAGATCACAAGAAGGTGTCCAAATGGCCCTTTGTCAACAGATGGAGGCGCAATAGGATCTCTCCCCACAAGGTCAGCAGACCAGGTGAGGAGATTGAACTTGGCATGGTTGCGAGGGACAGGGGTGGAGGGGTACGGCGCACGGTCAGAGACTTGCCCGGTCTCAGGTGATGCTAAACGCGTGATGTTGATTGTAAATCTGGAGGGAAAAACTGAAGGACTCGGAGAAAAATCGATGTGACCACGGGGAGAGACATGCAAACTACAAATATACCACAGGGGTCAGGGTCGAGATTTAACCCACGACCACTTATATACCAGGCAGGATAGTTAATATTTCGCCACCGTGGTACCCTTAAAGGTAAGGCGTGTTGAAGCAGTGCACCTAGTGTGGACAGCGAGGCTCAAATTGAAGCGGTTTTGAAAAGTTCTTCTGTGATGCCACCTTCTCGGGCACCGCGAGAGCACGTGAGTGATGAGGCGGTGGGGTCGTTCTGTCACAGGAACAACCGCCCAGACAGAAATGGACCGGGATGCTCCCGTCGCACTTGTGGATAAATCCATGGCCACCAGCGTGACCCTGAGCAACATCACCATCCACCTCGCTTCCACCGGGAGTGGCAACAGCAGCGACGGCAGCATTGGCTACCCGTCACAGTCCGAGTCCTCCAAGTGTTTTGCAGACTCGTCTATCATCGATTCCAGCGATGATGGCTCCCTCCACAGCGACCCTTGCACCCCTCCGCCTCTCCAGCTGGTAAATATATATCTGTAGTGTTTCTCAAACTTTTTTGTCCCGCCAACCTCTCGCTCTTGTGACAAAACGCATTCTCCTTCTCTCTTAATGTCAGTCATACAGAATGATGAATATGACCAGAACATACATTTTTAAAATTTAAATGCAGCTGAAAGGTTTTTATTTTTATTGGGGGCATTTAGATCTTGGGGTTAGTGTCGTTTAATCAGGGTCATTTACCAAAAATGAATGTTTTAAGTATTATTTAATGTTCAAAACAAAAGGTTTGAACATTGTAATTATTTCCAGTTCAACCTGCGTTTGCATCACAGCTCCACGGACAACCTGGTGGTCCGTCGCGGACCACTAGTGGTACCGGGGGCCACACACACTGATGTTGGCCGCATCCTGATTGCCTATTGCCCCAACTGCAGGAACTCGTCAACACGGACCCTACGATCATGGAGCCACACGGTGCGCTGTCCCTCGACCAGGAAACATCAAGCAAGCATCGGATAGTGGTCATGGTGCCATCAGCCCATTGGAAGACTGGCCAGGCATCGGTAGGGAGTGACTTGCATATGCAAACACATGTAATAAAGACTCAGATCCCACGTACAGCCTTTACAAACTTCTGGGGCAAGTTTTTGTGTCCGAGTGGCGATGTTTATACGCGCACCAAGTTCTAATTTGAGACTCTGTGGTCACTGGTGTTGGCCGTGAGGGGCATCAAACTCGGGTAACTGGGTTCATAAAGCAGCACGCTAACTGTTACACTGCTGCTCCCCAATAATAATCACATGTACACGTACCCACATACGCGTTCACACACACATGCAACGGAAACCATGTTAAGGTGTTCGCTGTTAAGCCCGGAGCGTCGGTTTGGGATATGTGAGCGAATCACGCGTTTGCCTCGGGGGGGAGATGTTTCCCCTATGTACGAGAACCAGCAGCCACCGGGGTTCGTGCAGCAGATGTACGGCCACAGGTGAGACACGTGCACACACAGACACAGGACCTTTCTCCGTCTCTCTCACCCCCATGCCGTGGGAGCCCCCCCAACGCTGGCTCGGCTCGCGTGTACCAAGTAGAAAAGCGGGGTACCAAGGGACCGTGCGGCTGAACGTTCGTTCCCTTCCACAGATTCATCAACGTTGCGCCCTGCGCAAGTCAAGACTGGTAAGCTGGGACGAGAGTCCACCGCTCCCCGCGAGACGGGAGATGGAGCGTGCTGCTTGCTCGGCACTTTCTGCGGATGGCGGATGCGGTTCCTCCGCTGGGGACCTCTGGGAGATCGCTTCTCATCCTCCTTATCCTCGTCTGTGAACTCTTCTCAGCGTGGATGCTGATGAGAGGAAAACCTCTCGAATTTGTATGGATGTTGGGGATCGACTTTATGTTGATGGATGTATTGCCAACTGTAAATAACTTAACACTAATGGTTTTGGGTTAGATCGCGTAAGTATAAATGTGTCGTAAACCTCCACCACCCGACACTGCCAAATAGTAAGGGATTTGTCACGTAAATAAAACGCCAATTAGTTACTACTTCAGCCCACCGGTATGATGGAGAGTAATTCACAACATTTACAATTTGAGTACGACATTTCGCTGGTAATTACATCCAGCATCATCGAGCAATTTGCCAGAATATTGAAGCAATCCACCTGCTTCCGGTCTGAAATATAGAGCAAGACAACGTCATCACTGAACCCAATCAGGTGCAGAGATCAGAGGGGGAGGGGGGGTTCTTGTAATTTTATAATAGATTAGTAATCAGTTAATTCATATGTGTCTCATCTTTAGGGAATTGTAATTGTAAGATGTATTACTTAATAATATGCTTCCAGGCCGCACTAAGCCTCTAGCTGTCAGAGCGGTTAAAATTATTTCTCTCAATTTAAATGGATTCTCGAATTAGTCTTGGCCAGTAATAATTAGTTTACACAACATTTTAACGATTGAGTGCCATTGTTGGCAAGCATGTTCTGAAACTGCCGACAGTTGTATTTGAGAGTATTTAATTTTTCTTGTGTTCTTTTAGTCTTATGCTAATGTTACGTCCCGTCTGTACAAAATAGCATATGCCACATAAGCAATTAATCCGATACACACGTAGGCTTTCGTGACCAATATTCATAATAAAAGTTTTTGGGTGAGATCGCGTAAGTAAATGTGATTGGGTTCACTGGTGACATCATCCTGCTCTATTTAATACTAGAAGCAGGTGGATTGCTTCACTATTCTGGCAAATTGCCCGTTGATGTTGTGGATTTATTTTCCAACATACTGGTGGGCTGAAGTAATAACTAATTGGCATTTTGTTTATGTGACTAATTGGCTGTGTGGGGCGGTGGAGGGTTACAACACTGCGTATGATATTTCACTGTAAATAAATTATATTCTTTGGGTCTTTCGGTAAAGCCACGTAGATAGATCAAATAATTAAAAATTATTTAAAGATGAAAATAATAACAGTATCACGACGTTTCGATCGAAACACAAGCAATCGTCATCAGGTGAGAAATATCGCGGGAGAGCTGCTGAGAATAAATGGGAGCGCTGCCAAGGTAAGGAGTTATCAAGGTTTGGGATGGGTGCAGCCCAAAGGTCAGTGGGAGGGGCTAGAGATGAAATGTGCATGTAAATATAAGATCGGGAAAATTTTGACAAACGAAGCTGTGGGGGTGGCCATTGTATTGTGAGGGATTAGCATGTCAATGTAAGCAATTTGCTTGTCAATGTAAGCTCGGAGAGAGCTCGGCAAGAGCATTGCCACAAGGAGATGGACAAAGATAGCAGGCCGCCATTTACTAATACAGCTAACGCTGGCTGTATTAGTGAATGTAACTCGGAGAGTCGAAAATAACTGCTAACATAGGTAGGGAGGGAACATCACAGCCAGTTATGACCTAAACTGGTTAATAACATCAGTCCCGTGATTGCTCAGTTTGTACATTTCCAAGCAAATTTCTTACATTGATATGCTAATCTCTCACAATGCAATGGCCACCCCCACAGCTTCGTTTGTAAATGGCGGCTTGGCATCCTGTACCACCTCCAGGTGGCGATGGCTCCTTCCGAGCTCTCTCCAAGCTTACATTAACAAGCAAATTTCTTACATTGACATGCTAATCTCACAATACAATGGCCACCCCCACAGCTACGTTTGTCAAGATTTATCCGATCTTACATTTACATGCAAATTTCATCTCGAGCCCCTCCCACTGACCCTTGGGCTGCACCCATCCCAAACCTTTATCACTCCTTACCTTAGCAGCGCTCCCACACTCTTTCTCAGCTGATGACGATTGCTTGTGTTGCGATCGAAACGTAGTGATATTATTATTTTTGTTACTTTTATCTTTATTATTTTTTATTATTATTTGATCTATCTACGTGGCTTTACCGAAAGAACCAAAGAATATGAATTTCTGCAGTCACGAAAGTCAAGATGTAAATAAATTGTCTTAATAATTCACTTCTTCTTCCTAGCGTTGTTCCCGCTGTGGCACAGGGTCCGCTTTTCGGCATTGTCTTCTCCATTTGACTCGGTCCAGGGCATCTTCGGGGGATGCTTTGACCGTCTTCATGTCTTCCTTTATTCGATCCATCCATCGCTTCTTCGGACGGCGGCCCTCTGGCTCAATACGCATGGCAGTCTTTGCCACTGATGACTCTTCACTTCGCATCACATGGCCGTACCACCGAAGCCTTGCCTCAAGCATCTTGTCCGCAATGGGGGCCACACCAAGTTGCTTCCGAACGTCTTCGTTCATGACACGATCCCATTGAGTCAGTCCAAGGCTCCATCTGAGCATCCTCATCTCCATTGTATGGAGGGCTTGTTCGTGTACAGTTGTGGCTGGCCAGCACTCGGATCCATAGAGTGCCACCGGTTGGACGATGGTCTTGTAAATTTTTCCCTTCAGCCTATCCAGCATTTTCCGATTACAGAGGAATCCGGTGACTTGCCTCCACTTCATCCATGCCGCATTGACTCGTGACCTCACATCAGTCGTGATGCTTCCATCTGAGCTGATGGTGGAGCCCAGGTACTTAAAGTCCGTCACTTTCTTCAGATCTTCTCCGTCAATGCTGATGGTGCCGTCGGTTTGGGGGCCACACTCCATATACTCCGTCTTTTTGATGTTGAACCTCATCCCGTTTTCGTCCAAACGTTCCTTCCACAGGTGCGTTTGTCTTTTCACATCTCCTCTCTCTTCATCTGAGAGTAGGACGTCATCCGCATAGAGAATTGACCATGGCAGGGGCGTGTGCAGGTCAGCAGTGATCGTGTCCATGCACAGGATAAACAGGAGTGGTGACAGGGCCGATCCTTGGTGCACTCCAACGCTGATGGGAAATGGCGGTGATATGCCCACTGCGCACCTGACTGCACTGGTGATGTTCTTGTATAGGAGTTGCACCCAATGCACGTAGGTTTCAGGGACTCCATGGGATCGAAGCGAGTGCCAGATGAGGTCGTGGGGGACCCTGTCAAATGCCTTTTCAAGGTCTAGGAACGACATGTGCACAGCTTTGTTCTTCTCTCTGTGCCTCTCCAGCAGGAGCCTCGCCGCGAATATGGCGTCCGTAGTGCCACATCCTTTGACGAAGCCGCATTGGTTGGGTGATAGGGTGATGATGTTTCTAATCCTCGTGTCCAAAACTCGCTCAAAGATCTTCATCGCGTGACACAGGAGCCGGATTGGCCTGTAATTCGAGCATTCTGCCACTTCCCCTTTACCCTTCTAAATTGGAACCGTCGTGCTGGTCGACCAGGCTTCTGGGACCTCAGCGGTGCTCGTTATGGTGATGAAGAGCTCGGTAAGGAGGGCAGCACCCTTCCTGCCAAGGATCTTCCAGGCCTCAGCAGGGATATCGTCCGGGTCAGTCGCTTTCCCATTCTTCATTCTCTTGATAGCTTGTTCCACTTCGATGATGGTGATAGGCAAAACGGGACCGAGGACGTGTTCAGCGCTAATAATCGGTGGGTGGGGAAATTCCTGGTTGCAGATTCCAGAGAAGTAGTCGCTCCAGCGTTGAAGGATGGTGGGCGGGTCTCTGAGAGCGCTGTGATTCTCATCCTTTATGCATTTAACGTGACCAATATCCCGAGTCGAACGATGGCGCGCCTCTGCCAGTCGATAGATCTTATTGGCACCTTCTGGGGTGTCCAGTTCGACATACAGTTGGTCGTATTGAGCTAATTTCACCGCTGCTACTACTCGCTTCGCTGCCGATTTGCAGTTTCTGTAGTGTTGGTAATCCAGATCTGCGAGCGTTTGGCGCCACTTCTTGAAAGCTAGCTTCTTCTCTTTCACTGCTAGCTGCACTTCTTCGTTCCACCACAATATTTGCTTGTCAATGAAGCGTTTTCCCGGCTTAGTTAGCCCCAGTGCTTCCGTTGCTGCTGTGCACAGTTGGCCGGCGAGATCTTCCCAAATCGCATTCGCTGGTCGGTTGGTGTTCACGTCAATCTGATTGAGGGCGACTCTCAGCTGATCCTTGCATTCCTTCATCCGCCACCACTTAATTCACTGCTGTCCCGTTGTTGGTGGGCGATGTTGTGGGGCGATGTTGTCCGATGGTATGACTTTAGTGTATGTCACCGTTTTCAGCTTATCCCGCTTGATAAGCCAGTAATCAATTTGAGTTGATCTCCCACCACTGGCGTACGTAATGAGATGGGACGGTCTCTTCTTGAAAAAGGTGTTGGCGAGGACAAGATCATGGGCTTCCGCAAAGTGCAGGGCTCGGTTTCCCTCATCGTTCCGGGTACCATATTTTTGGCCACCATGGTTTCGAGGGTATCCATCCCGGGCGTTTCCAACGTGTCCATTTAGGTCTCCACCAATTACTAACTGCTCTTCTTCGTTTATCGATTGCATGTGTCCATCAAATTGTTCCCAAAATTCCTCCTTGGTATCTGCTGGGCAGCCAGACTGTGGCACATAACAAGATACCACCCGGAGGCGTAGGTCGTTTGAGTCGATTTCGATGGACATGAGGCGGTCGGAAACACGGTGGACGGCTACGACGTTGTCTCGTAGATTTTGGCTGACTGCAATTCCAACACCGTTCTTGGTGTTTCTTTCACCATTGTAGAACAGTTTGTATCCTTCTCCAATCTTCCTGGCCTTTGCTCCACTCCACTTCGTTTCTTGGATGCATACGATGTCGATACGACGGGCTTTTAGGGCAGCTGATAATTCTCATCGACTCGATTTCAATTGTATGTATGTATGTGGAACTTCTTTCGCATGGTACGTAGCCAACTGCAAATCAGAGTTGCCATTGCATTGCTACTCGAGTCTTCAAGGCACTCGGGGCTTCTCTGCCGCATCATCACAACACTCACTCACTCTTGCACATTTGACTGATCCTGGACATTTGCATCTTCACGTTTTGTGAAGGAGGGGTACATTTGTAGGACTTTTTAACAGGGAGGGGAAGGGTTAGGAATTGGGAGAGTTTTAGGGAGTGCGGAGGGAGAGAATCGTTATTTACCAAAATAGCTTAAGTAGAAATCACCTTATTGCTGAAAAACACGAATCAACAGGAAGTGACTGAAGAAATAAGTTGCCATGGTTTTTGTCTGAGAGTGAAATTTTAAAAAGCCCATGTGAATGTGTAGTAGGTCCAAGACGAGGAGAGACAGTTCTTTAGACGCAACACGTTTATTTAATAATTAACACAGGGTCCCTAATACAAAGGGGTAACGGCTCCTTCCACCCGATACCTGGGGAGGTACAGCCTCCGGGCTATCGTGGCCCTCTATTACTGGGACCACTCTATATCTCAGCTTTCCGGCGAGTGGGGGCCTAGCAGAGGCTATCTGACCCGACCCAGCCAAGGTCCTGGGGTCCTGGCCACTGGCCCACTCGGTCCCGGCCCTTAGAAGGACGTCGGGTCCGGGGGTTCCCAGGGTCCGACCACTGGCCCACTCAGTCCCGGCCCTTAGAAGGACGGCGATACATTTAAAATTGAGCAGGAATTAGGATTCGTCGCGGATCGTACAAAACGCGAGTCTTCGGCAGTCGCCCACAGTCGAGAATTGATTGTCTTCCAGCAACGTCTTATCTGTAGGTCCGAAGATGGCTGAAGAGGACAACGTTCAACCTAAATAAAAATTTGGAATTATTTCGTGAAATATTAAAAAGCTGTGCAATGTAAAACAATATATGAGCGTTGATATATGAAAGGATGATGAAGGCCTCTTCACATTGTTAACGGTGCTCTGTATTAGTTGGTGGTGGGAAGGCCATGAACCGGTTGAGATGGTCACGGTCCACTTAGTTGTTGCCGGGAATCAAACATAGGTTGTGCCACTAACACACCCTGCTGCCACGCTGGTGAGATTATACTAATGTCATAGTTCTTTTTTTTTTCACCATACGAAGTTTCATGTGTGACGGTGAAAACGTATAATTTTTGTCGGTATTCTTAAAGTCTTAAAGTCACTTTATTGTCAAGTGTGTTACATGCATGACATACAACACAGATGAAATTACAGTCCTCTCTCTTGGTCCCACGGTGCAACCAAGCAATTAAAAATTAATCACAATTAACAGACATAAATAAACAATAAACAATCGGCGATCAACACAAGATAAATAATCAAAAATGTAATAAACTTAAAATAAACAACAGTCAAGAATTTTTAAAATGTAAAATATTATTTAAATAAAGTATTTAAAGAAATAAGATATTTAAACCAGTGTGGTAGTGCGATGTAGTGCAATGTGCAGTCCAGAGATCAGGATGTACGATTGAATGTGTGTGTGGGGGATGGGGTCAGGGGGCAAAGGGGGGTGGGTGGGCAGAGGGGGGGAGTGATGGTAGAGCAGGGAGGGAGTTGAGTCTCCTGACAGCCTGGTGAAAGAAACTGTCTTTGAGCCTGCTGGTCCTGGCTGGAAGACTCCGCAGTCTCCTCCCTGACGGCAGCAGACTGAAGAGGCTGTGAGATGGGTGGGTGGGATCACCTGCAATCTTGATTGCTTTGCTGGTGATGCGGGTGTTATAAATGTCCAGAAGAGGGGGGAGAGAGACACCAATGATCCTCTCAGCTGCTCTCACTATGCGCTGCAGAGTCTTGCGGCAGGACACGGTGCAGGTGCCGTACCACACGGTGATGCAGCTCGTCAAGATGCTCTCAACGGTGCCTCTGTAGAAGGTGTGCATGATGGGGGGCGGGGCTCCTGCTCTTCTCAGTTTGCGGAGAAAATACAGGCGCTGTTGGGCTTTTTTGGCCAGTGATGCAGTGTTGTGACTCCACGACAGGTCTTCAGAGATGTGCACACCCAGGAACTTGGTGCATCTCACCCTCTCCACTGCAGCACCGTTGATGGTTAGCGGAGTATGCTGGGTGTGCACTCTCCTGAAGTCCACGACAATCTCCTTCGTCTTCTCAACATTCAGGTGGAGATTGTTGTCCTTGCACCACGTGGCCAGCCTGCTCACCTCACTCCTGTAGTTTGTCTCATCACCGTTTTTGATGGCACCCACCACAGTTGTGTCATCCGCAAACTTAATGAAGAGGTTGGAGCTGAATGATGGTGTGCAGTCGTGGGTCAGCAAAGTGAAGATGAGGGGACTCAGCACACATCCTTGGGGGACCCCTGTGTTCAGTGTGATGGTGCTGGAGGTGTTGCTGCCAACCGAACTGCCTGTGGTCTCCCTATCAGGAAGTCCAATAGCCAGTTGCACAGGGAGGTGTTGAGCCCCAGGTGGTCTAGTTTGTGGATGAGCTGCTGGGGAATGATTGTGTTGAATGCTGAGCTAAAGTCGATGAACAGCATTCTGACGTAGGAGTCTTTAGTCTCCAGATGGGTGAGAGCTGAGTGGAGGGTAGCGGAGATGGCGTCATCGGTTGAGCGGTTAGACCGATACGCAAACTGGAAAGGGTCCAGGGCGGGGGGAAGGACAGACTTGATGTGTTGTAGGACTAGCCGCTCGAAGCACTTCATAAGGATGGGAGTGAGTGCGACCGGGCGGTAGTCATTGTGGCAGGAGGGAGATGACTTCTTCGGGACCGGGATGATGGTGGTAGCTTTGAGGCACGTGGGTACAACAGCCTGTCTCAGCGAGGTGTTAAAGATGTCGGTGAAGACATCTGTGAGCTCCTCCGCACAGTCTCTCAGGACACGACCCGGAATGTTGTCAGGGCCCTGGGTTTTCCTTGGGTTCGTCCTTCTGAGGGATCTCACGCTATCTGGGGATAGCGTCAGCACCTGATCACCGGGAGGTGGTGGAGTCTTCTGTGCTGGGGTGCTGTTGTCTGCCTCAAAGCGAGCGAAGAAGTCCTTCAGCTGGTTCAGCAGAGAGGTGGAGCTGTCACAGGTCTGCGGAGAGGGTTTATAGTCCGTGATGGTCTGCATCCCTCGCCACAGGTTCCTGGTGTCTCTGCTGTCATTGAAGCGGTCGGCGATCCTCCTGGAGTACTGCCTCTTGGCCAATCTGATGCCTCGCGACAGGTTGGCCCTGGCTGTATTCAGGCCCATCTCCTCGCCAGCTTTGAAGGCGGCGTTCCGAGCCCTCAGGAGCCTGTGGACTTCCCCTGTCAGCCATGGTTTCTGGTTGGCCTGAATGGAGATGGTTCTGGTGACTGTGACATCCTCCATGCACTTCCTCATGTAGGAAGTGACGGTCTCCGTGTACTCCTGGAGGTCTACGGTGTTGTTGTAGGTGGCTGCCTTTCTGAACATGTTCCAGTCGGTGGTGGAGAAGCAGTCCTGGAGTGCCTCTGAAGACCCCTCAGGCCACACACATATCCGCTTTATAACTGGTTTGGTGACTTTAACCAGCGGCCTGTACGCTGACGTTAGCAGAACAGTGGTGTGATCTGAGGCCCCAAGGTGGGGGAGGGGACGGGCTTTGTAGGCACCTTTGTGTGTAGTGTAGACATTGTCCAGGATATTGTTTCCTCGTGTGGGAAAGTTGATGTGTCCCTGGAGTTGTGGAAACACGATCTTGGGGTTGGCATGGTTGAAATCCCCAGCCAGAATGAGGAAGGCATCTGGGTGGGCTGTCTGCTGGTCACCGATGTGCTGATGGAGTTCATACAGTGCCTCGTTCCTGTTGTTTTCGGAGCCAGGGGGGATGTATAGTGCCACCAGCAATATGGCACTAAATTCCCTCGGCAGGTAGAATGGCCGGCATTTAATTACCATAAACTCCACCGATGATGAGCAGTGTTGGCAGACCACAACAGCGTCGCGGCACCAGGCATCGGTGATGTAAACACAGAGTCCCCCGCCGCGAGTCTTCCCCCCCTCGACGAGCGCTCTGTCCGCCCGGTAACATGTTAGCCCGGCTAGCTGAATGGCATGGTCCGGGACGCTGTCGTTAAGCCATGTCTCCACAAACACAAGGACACAGCACTCACTCACAGTCCTGGAAGTTGTACGAAGAAGGCGGATATAGTCCAGTTTGTTTTCCAGCGAGCGTACGTTGGCCAGTGTGATGGTAGGGATAGCCGGCCGGTGAGGGCTAGCCGCTCGCCTAGCCTCGATACCTCCGCGCTTTCCCCTCTTCTGCTTCCTCATACACCGCCTGTGGCGCTTCCACTGTAGGCTGGTTGCAGTAGTAGGGGTCGGTGGTAGAGCAGGCCTCTGGAGCAGACCGCAGTCGCGTAGCTCTTCCGCGTCTGCTGGGTTTATATCCATGAGTGTGGTTCTGCCGATGGCGAGCAGAAATTCGCGAGAGTATGTGCGCCTTACGTTTAATCGACGTGATGATGACGAACAAATGCACGTAGATGGATAACACAAAAAACATAAAAACACCGATCTGATGGGAGAGAGACGAGCCGCTGCATGTATACGCGCCGCCATCTTGACTTTGCCGAAAGAACCCTTCATAAAAGTTATGAAAAAAATAATAGGTTTTTACCCTTTCTGGCAATCAGAGGTGGGACAAAGTCATTGTTATGCAAGTCCAAGTCGAGTCTGAAGTCATCAAATTCATGACTCGAGTCTGACTCGAGTCCAAGTCACATGACTCGAGTCCACACCTCAGAGGTGGGACAAAGTCATTGTTATGCAAGTCCAAGTCGAGTCTGAAGTCATCAAATTCATGACTCGAGTCTGACTCGAGTCCAAGTCACATGACTCGAGTCCACACCTCTGCTGGCAATACAACAGGTGTTAAGATGTTCAAACACGAAATAGGTACATTTGGCAAGGAATCAAGTTCGCATTAGCCACACGGTACTTGTGGTGAACATGCAAACAAAACATTCTCTGATAGCATTTTCATTCTCTTTGAAACTGATTGACCTACACCAGAGACAGCCTTCTTTAGGGCCGAGTCTCACCAGTGTCAGACCAGAGAACGCCAAAAGGCGAACAGATCCTGTCAATAAGGTCCCGTGCATTATAGTTGCCAAAAGAGCTGCTGTTTGAATGAAATAATGTCTTGAAAATGGACCAGCTGAATTTTATTTTTAATACGTGCCCCAAAGGGACATTGTTCAGTTGGTAAATAAAGACCTTGTACGGTATACAGTGTTCCATGATTGTCACAGATGTGTTTATTGTAAAATGCGACGTGTGTACAAGCATCACCTGTATTTTGAATGCATGAGAGTTGCGCTCATAAATTGACAATAATTAGCCTTTGTTAAAATCGTGCAATTTGCTTATTTAACTCAAATAAAGGTGAATCAGGTTATGCTTGTTTGTGTATCACTTCTTTGGTTACTGGTCATGATGTAATTGTAATAAAAGGGGATTCTTCAAGTTGAGTTTAGGCTCACAGAGCATGTGCGGAAGAGATGTAGTGAGGTTATTCCTTGCTGATGAACAATGTGGTTGTCTCATTCCCAGGAAGGGAGGATTGATACGTGATATTTAGTGATTGATTCAAATCAACATAGTATAAACACAATGTACAGTAATATACCAATATCCATAGAGGTTATTGGGTTAGATCGCGTAAATATAAATGTCGTTAAACCTGCCACCACCCGACAGGTAAATAGTAAGGGTTGTCACTTAAACAAAACATGCCAATTCGTTACAAGTTCAGCATACCGGTGTGTTAGAGAGTAGGCCCACAACATTGTAATTACTGGTGAAACGTCGTACTCGAATTGTAAATGGTGTGGGTTTACTCTCCAACACACCGGTGTGCTGTACTAGTGTAGTGTAATAGCGCCGTCTGCTGTCCAGCAACGGCAACTGCGGTGGACGAGCAGTACACACGCCGGTGAGCACTTATGCGGGTGTGTCGGCAGGGCGGAGGAACAGGGACAAGGGTCACAGAGACCCCGTCTGGAAGCCCCTGGAACCCGCTAGTGGGTTCGAGAAGGGAGGCGTGGCCAGGGTGGAGCTGAGAGCTCGTGGCTGCCGGTTCTGAGTGTGGACTCATCTCGTCGTTGCTGCCACCTTCGCTGCTTTCGTCGCTGCTGTCTTCGCTGGACATTGCGCGGCCGGATAGTTGTTGGCTGTCTCGGTCGACGCCGTTGGTGTAACACGGTCAGGGTTGTGTCCAGGCTAGGCTAGACGTGGGAGAAGCGAGGGCGAACCTGTGAACCTGAAAGTGAGAATAAAGAAGGTGCCTCCTCAAGAACCTTGTCTCCCGCTCCACTGACACTACACTAGTAACGCATTGGCACGTTCTGTTTACGTGACAAACCTTAGCAATTGGCTGTGTTGGGTGGTGGCGGTTTTAACGACATCTATATTCACGCGATCTAACCCAAAAACCTCATGGATATACATGGTTGATTGTAATAAAATAAAGCTTATACTGTATTGCACTTTTAAACATTTTTAAACAAATGTTTAAAAGCATTAACCATCTAAAACAAGGACAATAAGGCAGCCCGTTCAGGAAGGCTTGAGTCGATTTTTTTTCCCTCCAATCTTAGGATCTTCCTCAAGTTCCAACATATTTTGTTTTAAGCGGGTGATGCTGTACTTCAGTGTGGATTTGGGAACTCCTGACCCTAAACCCTGTCCAATCACCAGCACGTGTTATTTGGCATGTATTGTGCCAACGTGAGGTTGTTCATTTAAAAATAAAGTACAGGGACTCCTCTACTTACGAACATTCGACTTACAAACTTTCAGAGAAATGAACAAACCTGGTCCATATGTCCAGTTGCCTGTTCGTACTGAGAGTCGTAAGTTCAACCGCCCCGCAATAGATGGCAGCATCTACATCTGCAGAACATGAAGAACCAGTGGCATCTACATTTGCAGAACATGAAAAACCAGTGGCATCTACATCTGCAGAACATGAAGAACCAGGGGCATCTAAAGGAGAGTATATAATACTCTTTGGTTCTTTCGGTAAAGTCACGTAGTTAGAAATAAAATAAAACAAATCACGACGTTTCGATCGCAACACAAGCGACCTTCATCAGGTGGCACCGATACAGCAGGACAACCGCTGACACAAGAAAGAGCTGCTGACAACAAGAGTTTATAAACGGTTGCGGTGGGCCCAACCCAAGGGTAAGTGGGCGGAGCTAGAGAAGGAAGCTCTCGAAATAATTTTCAAATCTTTTTAATTTATCAACTGCTTTTTATAAATTTAAATACCTCGTTTCCTTCATTGTAATTAGTCTTATTTGGCGTTAGAAAAAAACGGATCTTTTTGCCTCGTGTTTCTTTCAACATTCCCAACCTTAAGGTGATTCAGTTGGGCGTGGGAGGAGTGGGGCTGGGTGGAGAGGGGAGGGTGGGGAGGGGCTGGGTGGGGATGGAGGGGCTGGATGGGGAGTAGAGGGTGGGGAGGGGGTGGAGGGGCATGGGTGGGGCTGGGAGGGGTGGAGCTGGGTGGGGTGGGGCTGGTCACCCCGTGGGGCTGGGAGGGATGGGGCTGGGTGGGGTGGGGCTGGTCACCCCGTGGTGTCCTTATAAAACTCAACGTTTAACCTACACACTACACTATACACGACACGACACATTACACTTATACAGTTAGGAACAGCTTCCACACTGCCCACCAGGGATTATTTGTCCGTCTGTCGTGCACGAACGCGCTGTCCAACCAAGTTCCTACCTGTCCACTCCGAAGGAACGTGTTTTGGCGTTAGACCACATGAAACTATCACTCAACAATTAAAATATTTAAGTTAAGGTGAAGTATTCAGTCGTGCGGGATGAAAGTAAGTCGACATCCTTTTTCAGGCCACATCCCACAATAAATTAAGTGAAGGCCATGCACCAACATGTTTTATGGGTCATCTGTAAACAATTCGCATGTGTCCGTCATTTTCCAGACTTCATACTTATGTTGGAGGGAAACATGCTTAACAAACAGGACTTTCGGGGTAAACTGAAACGTTAATGATGCAAAACTTCGAATGTGCCAAAACCATGAAAAAAGTGCAATCAATCCAATGCAACCACCCCTTCCCCACATTTCAGGTATTTGGAACGGTCCAATTTGGGGGGGGGGGGGCAAACCCAGCATTCCGCCCACATTCGTTAGCACACCGTGGTGGTTGTGCCCAACGTGTTGCGGTTATGATGCAGTTGTGGAAACGTGGCTTTAAGTACGGTCATGTGGAGGGGGGGGGGGGGGGGGGTAAATATGTACAACCATGTTGGTCATGTGGAGGGGGGGGGGGTAAATATGTATAACCATGTTGGTAATACATACATGGTGTTGATATTGTTAATTTATCACTTACAGCATTACAGATCAAAAGGCTGGGTTGTTCCTGGGAAAGTATGTGCAAGAAATCCAGATCACTTGCTAATCAAAAGTTTCATCCCACGCAAATACACGAAGT